ATAGCAAAGTGTTGATGTATATTACATAGAGTAGTATAAATAATAAAAAAGTATTATTTAAATTAGATCACAGTGCTGCATTATGTGCATAACAGTGTTTGATATATTACTGGAGGGCTGTGAAGAACACTACTAAAACTTAACTGGTCATACGGTCAACACTGATACTCTGTTACAATCAAGAGGATGCATGGTTCAAATGCTCTTTTGGTGGCAAAGGCTTCTTATAAAATATGCCAATGAGCTCTTCAGGCAGTTAGGACATACCTGAAGGAACTTGGTTTGCATTCTGTATGAAGTGAAGTAAATTGCATTTAATCTGAAATTGCAAATGCATTCTCTCTACAGTTTTATTCTGATCCTGGAGTATGTGAGAGTAATGTTTTAAAAATGCCTAGACCCAGATTAAAGGGAAAATGGTAATAATAATAATAATAATAAAAAATCAGTAAAGATTTTCAAGAGCACTTGGGTGTCTATAGCTCCACTGACTGCAAAGGGTATTAGACACCTTAAGAGTCTAGAAAATCTCAGAATGCACCTATCTACATCTTTAGACACAGAAATACTTTTAAGAAAAATTAGGGCCTCACTGATTTAGGAGCCAAAACCTCAGCGAAAATCAACTGTGGCTACTGAGAAAATGGGACAAAGTTTTGTTCTGGTGATTTTATCCATGGTGCCATTTCATGTACAGTTTACAAATTCATTCTCTGCTGAGGTATGTTGACGTAACTCTATCTTACTCCAATGAAGAATGCAGCCCACACCTTCTCTGCATCTTTTGCAAATGTGGACAGTAATTCAGTGGAACACTGGGAGCCAATACACCTACTTTGGGCTTACTTTCTCCCATTAAAGAAAGATAGGAGTCACTCTATGGACACCAACTGAATTACTAGTGTGAAGAGAGAATACAGTCACAGGAGAGTTCTATAGTCAGTCCTAAATGGCATGTCCCATCACCAGGCTTATTATCTGTGAAACTCCAGCAGTATCAACAGATTTACTGCTGGTTTTGCCAGGAGATCAGAATCAAAATGATACCAAGAACAGCCATGCGATGATATAGTAAAGCTGTTCTAGACCTGTGCTTGGCATTTTTTTAATGCAGGCAAAGTCTGCATCAAAATGATTTTTCAGTAGAACACCCAATTGCTTGCAGAACGCAAGCGTGACCACTAGATTCCATCTCCCTGCTGGCTTCAATAAATCTACTTGCAGCGTGAGCTCTGGCCGACAAGAGCTTCTTCCTGCAAAAGGCATATTCCAAAGGAACTCTTGGTGAAATATGAGTGTTCCTTATAATTCATAGCTACATGAAACTTGCCACTGAATGCTTGCTGACCTGCTGGGGTTCCCCTCACCCGTATCTGTTTTGGAGAAACACTAATTTGGCAATACTGATAGAGTGAGGAAAACTGAAAGTTAAGAGATTCTAGGACTTCTCACCCCAAAATGGCTTAGTAAGGAAAGCAAACAAGAAAACAGAAACCACCTGATGTCTGAGAAGTGAGAGAGTTCTTAATACAGTCCCATTACCACTCAGATTTGGCATTATTCAGGGAAAGTAAAGACAATTGGATTGATAAGTTGACAGTGTATTTTTTTGGAAAACAAATCAGTCTCAGTTCTTATGAAAAATGAGAAAACTTTTCGGATGGAGTAAGACCAACTCTGACAAAGCTGCCCTTGTCAGCTAGGCACAAAAATGTTTTAAAAGGTGACTCATAAATATTTTACACAAATCCAGATCTGAAATCATGTATTTACCATCAATAGTTAGAGTAAGGGTCAGTAAGGACAAGTTGTTTTTAAACTCCAGAAATCATCTATAGATGGCATTAGCACTCAGCCAAACTGCTGGCTCCTGAACGTAGCTTTAAAAGCCCCTGCTGAATAATATCTCCCTAGTAGACCAGGCTAGGAACAAGAAATTGCACATAAAAAAAAAAAAAAGGCTTGCCAATATCTGAAGTTTATCAGAAAATATATAAAGGAGGTGTTGAAGTTTTAGATTTTATATCTATATATATCTTTTTAAAATAATCTGCCTAATTGGATATTTATGCAAAATGACTGTTTTCTAAGGTGAATAATACTAGTAGTAATTACACACTTAGCCACCAAGAGTCCACATGAATGAATGGTACTTGTTATGCAGCAGATATTGACCTCCCTTGCACTGACATACTGCAATCCGTAAAGCTGCTCTGGAATTAGTGCTGTGACTGTGGACAGAATCTGGCCACTGGCACACAACCACATCCTTTTCTCTGGAGGAAAGAGAGGGCTGAACCCCATTTTGAGAACATCTCCTGTCAATAAATTTGACTTTTAAATGTTGCTTTTTGATAAATTTTAAAAGCACCTTCTAGGTGGAACAACTTAGGATTAATGACAGAAGTTGGTGGCAATCTGATACCGTGGTATTTTATGTTTGGAATGACTCTCTCCAAAGTCCATAAAAACATTAAGGACTAAGTTTTCCTGTGCAGGGGCTGAGTGGTCCTCTGCCTGCGGGCTCCGGCTGTAGAGCTGGTGGATTTGGCAACAAGCCGATCACCCCTGTACAGTCATACAAGGGCTCTCTCCAGAGGAAAAGATACAGCTCATGCACCTCTGTGCTACCTGGCCAAGGGACTGCTCCTCTCTGTTCTCCTCAGCTTTACCTTCAACATCTATGTACTCCCACTTTAATTTATGCAGGGAATAAACCCTGCACACATTGGTCCCAGGACCAGCAAGCTGAGGGGAGAGCAAGACTGCTCCTTGCACCGTCTTTGGCTCTCTCCTGCCATATCTGCATTAGCTGGCAGTTGTGTGGGGCTCCAGCAGTTGGACACCTCCTGACAAGGCAGCACTTGGATCCCAGGACACACTGGGTGAGACAGGAGGAGAGGCACAATTTTGGTTTGCTGCCTCCAGCGTGGTCCTGTTTTCCACGTTGCAAAATGTTTGTGGAGCACAGGAGTATTGTCAGGTCCAGACTAACCTATCCTTCAGTCCTTCCACTTCCTAACTGAACATACAAAACAGACATCTCCAGATGCAATTTTTATTTCACTCCACTGAGTGGGAAGTCGAACCCTTCTCTAACTCAGTCTTCATAAACTAGTTGCATCTTAGTGAATCTGCTGACTGAAAAAGTTACGTCAGAGATATTCCTTCAAAGAAATAGATCGTTTTATTCTGCTAAGTGGTAGAGGTTTTCAGCCCCTATGATTTTCTTCTTGCCTCTAGGATATTCTAAGTGTATAATTTTTCATGCCAAATTCATGAATCCAGGTGAGAAAGACTGCATTATTTATTTCACAGCTTCCCTGCGCTGTAGAGTTCTCCACTCTAATAGTCATCATCATCAGGAGAGTAGCACTATACCTGAATCATACTCTCTGTAACACTGGTATATCTCTGGTCACCTCAGTAAGGCTCTTTACTAACTTCATTTTCTCATGGCAAATTAGCAAAGCTATTTCCTCATCTACTTATTCCTGAATCAAATCAGAGAGTTTTCCTCAGTTAACCTCCTATTATTCTCTTGATTCTGTCATACACACTCACTACTAAATTTGCCCTCAGATTATTGCGTCATGTTACACATGTACAGACGAAGAAAGGACACACTTTTTTTTAAACAGAAGTAGGGAGAAGGGGGCTGAATGTGCAGACAAGGCAGTATAATTCAACCATCCAAGCCCTACCAGAGCATGAAGATTTTATTTTTTTAATATTGCAGAGTAAGTTCCCCAACAGTCAGTGTTTGTCCCTGAAGAAGGTTAAACCTTAAACACCTGCTTCAAAAAAACCCCAACAACAACAAAAAAGAACCAAAACAAAAACAAAAACAAAACAAAAAAAACCCAAAAAAACAAACTCTAAGCCTAAGGGCTTAAAAATTAGAGGCATAGCCTTTTTCTCTATTTTCTATATTTATATGAAAATAATTCATGCTTCATGCTAAATACATTATTTACCTTACAAGAACTTTGTCATCTTTGAATAAAAAAAAATTGTTTGCTTTTTGTATCCCCCCCCCTCCCAAAAAGGAATCCATGCAATGTGGATCAAATTTATTCTGCTGGCTACGCTGGTTGAATCTGGAAATCTGTTGTCATTTTTGCACAGATGAATCCTGACTGACATTAACTGCACACTCATTTCTGAGGGCAGTGTAGGAGCTCTTTTGTTTACTTCTGAATTTGACTGTCCACCAATATGCTTGCTTTTTTTTCTTTTTTTAAATACAGCAAAATATTAATGGCAGGTTTTGTAGCATTTTTTTTTCCAGTTAGATCAAGTAGTTTTGATCCACAGAAAAAGATTCTGATTTATTTCCTTCCTTAATATTTACTGTAATTTCTTAGACTTGATTGCTTTTCACTCAGGCAGTTTAGAAGACATAGCTTGTTTTTCCATATCACTATTATTTTTTGCACGCAGTGCCAATCTTCAGGCTTATGGCTTTTTGAACTTTCTTTTAATTTAATATAGAAGATAGAATTCAGTGATTAACGATACTACTAACAGTGCCCCCCTCCCCCATTTCTTCTCATTATGTCACTGAAACCCATTGCATACACAGTTCAAATTTCCCAAAACTTAAAAAGTTATCAGTCTTCACATTATGAGCCACATATAGTACACGAAGCACTAAAAGTGCATTACTGTATGCGCAGTTGCCACCAGTGGCTGTCCAAAGACTTCAATGGCACAGTGTATCCAAGTGCCACTACATGGTTCTTGGTTTGGTGTTGAGAAGTACGTGCCTCCTCTTTCCCCCAAATCGCTTTATTCACATTCACTTATAACCCAATCGTAAGGCCATTAGAAAAAATCTTAAAGGCCAGGCCTGAATGATTACTAAATTATGCACATCTCTTCTAGTATAAGAGGGATTTCCAAGTGCCCAATTTTACTCCCATCACATTAATGTTGATGTCACTGCGTATTCAACCATGCATTTTTGACAAGCCGGAGAAAGCAATGGCGATTTTGGCTTTTTTTTTTTTTTTTTGTTAACGTTTTGTCTTCAGGTAATGAAAAGCTTTTGTAAATTAGCTGAGTGTCAGTATGAGTTCTATGGCTTCAATCTCCTTTAAAAATAAAAATCTCAAGGGTCCAAAAAAAAAAAAAAGAAATAAAAACAAATAGAAAAGAAAAACAAAAAGAAAAAGAAAAAATTGCTGATATTGCCACAAATCATTAGAATTCACCTGACGTGCTGAAACAAAACTTTGTAAGTTCAAACAAATCATTGATTTGTTCTAATTTTTTGTGGTTTCCTTTTGCTCTTTCTGCCCCTTTGCCGTCCGATTGGTGATGTTGTTCAAACAGGACCGAATTCCCGCTAAATGCAGGAGAGATCCTGCTGCTTCTTTCATCTCCTCATCATCACTCTCAGGGGGCTTTTCTGTACGTCTCTTTTTAAGAGGCAGTGTGTCACTTGGTACTTTTTTCGCCTTCATTAAATGTTGCCTTTTCTTGTGCTGGGATGCATACCCACTGTCAGCTAAAGAATCCTTGGTCTCCTTCCGATTTTGCTTTTTGTCCTCCTCTTCTGTTTCACTATGGCTCTCGTGGCTCTGGAAGCTAACTTCACTTCCTTCACTGCTGTCTTGGCTACCTTTAGTTGCAAATTCATACTGGTCATCAGCAGAGGAAGAGGAAATGGAGTCACTAGCAGGCGATGTGCTCCTGTGGTTGGAAGATTTGGCACTGCTGTAGTTGTGATCCTCCTTTGGGTCACCGCTAACAACTGGAGAGCCACACGACTGTTCGCTTTCTGTCCGCATCCGGCAGTTTGTTATTCCATTCCTGTAAAAAAAAATTGAAATAGTCTTAGCAACCAAAGAGGTAATCCTGCTTCAGCACAAAAGGTAATATGGTCAAGCTAACTGAGAGAGAATCTCAAACTGTAACTATCAAAATAATGCCCATCCAGGCCAGTTTCAAAGCCTGACTTTCTACTGACCTAAACTGCCTGTGGACTGGACTCTACACATAAACCAAACGAAAAAAAACATACAAGAGGCAGAAGCAAGACGCTACATAAACTCTAATGACCTGGATAAATAACCTCTCCTCTTTTTCACATAAAATGTTACTACCAAAAATGTGGGGAGCAGACACTATCTTCATAGGGTACTGTTTTTGTTTCCTCTCCAAGACCCCTTTTCAGCTCTACTGTTCCAAGGGCAGGAAATATTTCAGCTGGAACTAGCACAGCTTCCAGTCAGGACTTTTTCTGGCATAGTGAGCAACTACGTATAGCACGCAGGGAGTAGTTCAGTCACATTTCTGATTGTTATCAGTTTCTGGATAATCTTAAAAACAATACAAACTTAAGAGACTGGCTGCCAACAATATATTGAAATGTGCTTAAAAACAAACAGGAAAAAAAAGATTTGGTTTTGATCTAGAAGCTGTCATTTTCCCCTTTGGTTTTAGGCACTTGGAATTGCTGTAGCATGATACTGTATTTAAAAACGAATAGTGTCCTCTTCTGCACTGGAAAATATTAGGAACATTGCCACTGACTTTACAATACAGAACAAATTAGAAGCCTTTTAAAGATTGGACTGTCTCTGTGCATTGTTTAATTCCTACTGAGAAAAAGGGAGGGAGGGATGCTCAAAACTCATCATCGTTGACCCCCCTCCCAGTTCCCCGGCCTTGAACCTCTACCAATAAAAGAAATGCAAAACTGTTTAAACCATCGCATCATAAACTGCTTTAAAATCCAGTCTCGCCACCTTCTCGCTATCACTTTAGTGTTTTCATACATTTGCGACAGTGTTGGATTAGATCCTTTTCCTAAAAGAATGCACTGAACATAGATATTTCCTAAGAAGAATGGCACAGTGGCAAGGCTGGAGTATTACTGTTCCTTCTACTTAAATAATGGGAAAGTGCTTTAGGTTTCAGGGAATGCACCTCAGGTCTGGTTTCTTTACAGAAGAAACCGCAGAGTATTATCCTTTTCTGAAAGGTAAGGCTGAAAGTTGAAAAATATAAGAGTGGTATATAATCCCACAGGTCCCATCTATCCAAATGCTCTGGTCTATAGAGCTCACTGAAATAAGAAACAGGCTTTTGAGAACCAGTGATAAGACAATGCCAAAAGAGAGAAAATTATTCAATCATTCTAAATGTTCTTATTTACAGTATTTTAAGAGAAAGGTATATAATAAAAGGCCCAGTAATTAGCAAAGAAAGCCTCTTGCCAACCTCTTTTGCTCAACAGAATTATTTTCTGAGATTTTAGAGTAGGTTTATGATCCATAAATTATATACAAAACCCAGAAGGAACACACAAAGCTCCTTCAATTATTAATAACCAAATGCAATGTCATTCATGATTGTGCAGCAAGCCAGCTGCATTTACTCTGTGATGGTTTGCCACTGCAGGGGTTGTCATTAGAGGATGCCAAATGCTTAAAAGAAGAAATGATCCATACTAAACTAGTTGTAAGGTGAATTTATAACCAACTCCTTAAAATCATTCATTACAAGGAAGCATGTGATGCATTTTAAGTGACAGATTCTTCACTTTTAGGCTAAATTTACATTTAAAGATGCTTAAAATTATCATAAATTAGCATAAAATTAAAGTTACTTGATTTTACTAGGCAGCTAATAGTCAGGGCAATGTGGCTCAATAAAATCTCATGCTACTAATCTTCTCTATAAAACCAGCAATAAATTCTTGCTCCAAGGAAACAAACACAGGACCGAATAATAGGTGGGAACTCTAAAGGGATTCTTACTGACTAGCAAGGTTTCTAGCAGACTGGATTTAAATCAAGGTGCCTATTTTCATATTACTAAGTCTACTCCAATTTTTTAGCTTGTTCTAAGAGACTACCAATAAAAGAAAAGCAACAGTTCCAGGGAGCAGAGCAACCATGTGCCAAAAAGACCTGGCTGATTTGCCCCTCTCTTGGGCCTCTAGTCTTTGCTTTCCCATAAAGGGACAATAGTTCAGATCGAAAACCTCTGCCCAAGGAGCTTACTCCAGATCCCACTCCTTTTGAAAAGCACAAAAATTAGAATGAAATGGGCCAGGGATTAGGGAGGTTATGTCCTGAGGGAAGGTATACTAGTACAGGGTGAGAATCCCACAGGGAGCGACTGCAAGTAGGGATAACAACAAAGAAAGAAAGAGGGAAGTCCACAAAAAGGTGCAAAAAGAAATCACTTAAAGAAATGGGAGGAAAGAGGAAGACTTTGAAAGAAAGGCATCCATGGTGGAACTGGTCAGGAAATGGATAGCATTTGTACCTCAGAAAACACTTTGTTTTTCACTTACATTTTGAAAGATTTCCAACCAGTTCTGCTTGGAGAAACAAAAAAAGGAAGAGAAAGCAGGTCAAGGACAGAATTAGCAAAGGATATTCACAGAAATGAAAATGAGTTATACAGGCGGAGTGTTTTAGGATATTCACAAGATCAAAAGTTACATACCCTAAAAGCAAATTAATCTGATTTTTATCTTGATAGGCAATAGCTCAAACGTAAGATATGAAGAATTCCTTATAATTCATATTAATAGATTAATAAGAGTTGAATAAACTAGTATATAAACCGTTCCTATTTCAGACATGCTTCTGAGACATTTTAAAGCTTTGTATGGCTGTTATACACTCATATTCTCACTAAGAAATGAATCCTGTGATCTGCTTAGTTCAATCTAGATCATCAGTGGACAGAACTCCCCTGGGCTTTGGCCAGCTGAATGGATTTTTGCTCACAGTTCTGGTATGAGTGATTCAGCCGGCAGTTCAGGCCCAACAACACGCTGTGTGCCTGGAATACTTTCTGCTCAGTTTAAGAAAAATAAAGAACACGTATGTGGAGAAGGTATACCAGAAGTAATTCTAACTTTACCACTGAATAATAGCAGATTTTTAAAACAAATGCTTGCTCTGGTGGTTAGATTTTTTAAAGGATAAAAGGTATTTAGAAAATCAGTGAGGTGAAATTTAGTTAAAGTAATTTCTGATTTCTTTTCCATTTGTAGTTCAAAACTTTACTGTCAGGATTTCCAGAAACCGATATATTTTCAAATGTTTTAAAGCACTGGCTCCTCCCGTCAGTAAAGGCCACGGGAGAGTCTCGAGAACTTCTCATCCTCCTGTCATGGACTGTTTTATTTGCTTGAGGGATCTGAACCACGGTTACACAACTAAAACTACCATGCACAGATTCTTTTAAAAATATTTCAATTTGGCTGTAGCACAATTGCACAACCCTCAAGCACTGCGGAGATAAGTTTGGCCTTTTGAAAGCCCGATTCCGTTCCCATTGTTAACTGATAAGAGTTCTGCTACTAATTTCACCAGGAGCCAGATGGAGCCCACAGGAGCTCGATCTCAAGTCAGAAATGAAATAATTTCCTTCACACAGTGTTACTGGTCTTTGCCTTTTAAAGGGCCCTTCCTCAGGATGAGACAAAACTGAATCTCAGTCATTCTACCAAGGATAGTTACACGGCACTTCCTTGTAGTTCCCTGCTGGCTTTCAAAAGTGATAGGTAATCACATGCCGTTTGCAAAATGGCAGGTTTTGCTGAAAAATCAAAATACTTACTGTATTCCACACCAGAGACAGGATATTCCTTTGATGAACACAGCAAACCTATGCAGAGTTTAAATATCACCTTAACTATCTCTGATCCTTCTGGATGACATATATAGTATACCCGTAGGTGACAGCTTTGGTACGTAATTGGTACGTAACACCCCAGTTAAAAGATACGAAGAAAGCTGTACAGTTTAAATTGGGTTTGTGGATTCTGACAGGTTTTAGGCTTGCTAAAATAGTAACACTTTTTTACCATACAGGTAATGTAATTTCAAAGGGAGGTTCAGAAAAGTCAGAAGTTTTAGCTACAGGTGGTTGGTCTGTATACCACTCTATACCAGCAGACAGGATGACAAGCAAGCAAATGAAAAATAAGTGGGGCTCGCCTGTCGCATGATGAGACGCTATCAGGTTAGAAGTCCACAACAAGTCAGTAACACTACTGGTAGAAGCCCTTACAAAGATACTTTACAGCATAACTGTATGCAAAGGACCACAGTAAATGGGAGTCATGAACTGCTGCCGGAAAGAGCACTTTGTCAATAACAGCAGCAAACCTGGAGTTAAGACAAATGCAGCCCTCTTCATTTTGCAGGAAAAAAAAAAAAACATCAAGTCCTTTAGTTTCCAAAGAATCCCTGCAGCTCCCAAGGATAACTCATCCTGCCTAGTACAGGAGCAAAGGGGAACGCAAAGCAACAACGATATTTGGCGTTTGTTAAGCTGATCATACTAGTAATAAACACGGACATTAGGAATAAGGAATTAAGAATTTTTAAAGGGAAGTATGCATCAGTTCCTTTACCTAAGCAAAAAAAAATCATTCCCAGATAATGTGAGAGCTTATGCTCTGGCACCTACACTGCACACGTTACTTATGTTTGGTTTACTTAATTACTGCTTGAATGGCTGATTCGGGGTGGGGGGGAATCCAGCCAGAACGAGAAAAAAATTGACCGTTACACAAGCTAGGCCTGAGGTGTAATCTAGTAAATCTAGTAAATGTCCTGTGCATTTAAAGTTAAAATAATCATAAATAACAGTCTTGTCTCTTCAAATAAGGTTAGGCATGAAACTCATTCTTGTCCTACCCCAAGGATCAGGAGCTGCAGAAGAATTGTGGCATTAATAGTTGAAAAAACTCTGATACTTTACAATCTAGTCTAAGGATTGCTAATGTTGCATTTTTATTGTTTTTCCAAAATAAAGGGAAAAAATAAAGTAGCTCTGCCTGTTCAGATGTGCTTGCTTTTCCTTGAGAAGAGGAAATATCTTCTCTTTGAAACTTGAATGGAATTTTTGAAAGGACTTGAAGGGAAATGCCCTGGAAGTTTGTGCTTGCAACTTAGAGATAATTGTGACATTCCCTGAGAAGCTACCTGTTACCTAGGCATAAGAAGCACATTAAAAAAAAGTTCTGCCCAAGTTTGCAACCAGCCTGAAACAACACCTTGGATTCCTTCTGGTGAAATATAAGGTAAAACAGACAATTAAGTAACAGGGTCAAACTGTCCTCCATCTTGACCTTTTTGACTGCATCTACAAACAAGAGAATAGCAAATGCAGCCTAAGCCTCTTTAATGGGACTGGCTCTGCTCAGGTTTCCAGTTCAGGGCTGTCCATCCCAAATCCTAAAGGTTTTAATTGCTCTTTAAGATTTCTCAGCAAGGTAGCTGTGAAGTCTGCTCCCCAGCTTTTTACTTTCCTTGCATGTGAATTTGCTGGCCAATGTTATTGGATGGGATTTTCACTGGACCTTCCCATCAGAACAAACCACTAAGGTTTGTGGGCCAGGACCAGCAATAGGCTCTCCACACCCTGTTACAGTTCCAAAGGTAAAAAATTAACAAGCACTAAAACCATCAGCTTCTCACAGTGGTCTACTTAAGTGGGAAGGGCAGAGCGGACACAACGCGGAACCAACAGCGCAGAAATGAAGAATGCAGAATCCAAGCCCACATTTGATGGCTTCTTAATCTGACCCCCCAAAAATGGGGATGTACAGCCTGCCGAGCACACCAGGAGCACCAAAACTAGAACTTCGTAACGCCTAGACTTGCTGGGAGCCCCGGTGAACTCTGGTCACCAGCCCCTGTAGCACAGAGAACATTTGGGGCAGGGGGAAAAAGCCTATTACATAAACATTACTACGGATACTTTGTAAAACATCTTTTGCACAGTAGCCTGGACAAAATTTCAAGGTCTCTGCCACACAACTGGTGAGATTCTCTGTGCTGTAAAATGGCACAGCTCCACCAACTTCACCTCAGTGCATTTGCCCGCTTCAGGCAGTGGAGGCTTAGGCTCAGCAGGCTGCTGCACAGCAAAAGCACACAGACACACACCACTCACGCGCTAAGGATATCTAAAGAAAATGACAAGTGTCGTGGGGAGAGGCTGTCCCCTGAACGCGCTGAATTCATAGTTCAAACAGCTCTAACAGCATATCACTTCCAAGCTTGTGCTCTTCCGAAGGGCTGGTGTAACCGGTAAAACCTTTCTGATTTGGAACTCGGTTATATACGACAGTTTCTTGCACCTTGCCAAGATGCATATTGGCAGATGCATCTGCCATTTTTGTCAAGATTACGCCTCTACAAAAGTGGATACAGAAGTCCTCCTACACTAACATTTAAAAGATATTTTCTAATGGACGTTCACAGTAAGAGCAAGAGCTCACCTTAAAAGTACAACCAGCTCCTTGCCACAACACGTAAGACACTGCTGGCTTTGCTTGCTCTCATTTGATACCTTTATAAGCCAGCGTCTTCTTTTCTACAAACACGGACTATCACTGCATTTGTTTTTAGATTCACTCGGAAAACTGTATGGCGATATGATATGCCAAAAATATATATGATGGATCTCATGTTAGAGACATGCTACATGCTGTGCAGCTTTGAAGCGTTATTTTCCCCTGCTGTCTTCTGGTGGGTCTTAGACTTGTCAGCCACAACATGGAAGATATGGATGGTAAACAAGCTAAAAGTGGTGAGAATAAAGTAAAGAGAAAACTACTGTCAAAACACATCCAATTATGCTTTGCTGTGGAGATTTAACACCAGAGGGTGATTTTCAAAGTAAAAATAGTGTGGGATGCCTTTTCCATTTGTAGATTAGTTTGGAACAAAAGGCCTATTTGTGCTATTTAAGCCAAATGCACTACAGAATAATGATGCTCCACTCAATTGCTATTTTTTATTCATAGAAAGTGGTGGGTTTTTGTGGTTTTTAATATTGTTCAGTAGTCTTTTTTATTCTAACTACTTAATTCCATCATATTGTATTTTATACATAAAAGATAAAGTAATTACATGCAATTACATGGGAACAGCAACACATTGATACCTTTTGCAGGAACAAGAAGATGCACTAATACATTCAATTACACTGTTGGAAAAGAATAGCATAGTAAACTTTCCAGTTGATGAGAGCTAATAGATCAGAAATCACTGATTTCAACATCTTAGTCCTATGTTATAGTTTTGGCCTCCTTTATGAATAACAAATTAATCAAAACATTCTACCTAATTAAAACTGTAAATTTAACCCAAGACCAAACTTTCTGTCACTCTGTTTTGGCACTAATGGCAGTCTACACGACTGGATAATATACAGCAAATTAGTTGCACGCAGTCTTCTTCAAATGAAATCTTTCTGCTAAGTGTACAGACTTATGTGTTTCACTTAGCTGCATCCTTCAGCACATGACATCAAACTGCACTCCTAAGTGTAGACAAAGAACAGATTAACAGAACCGACGTGTTAAAAGTGCAGAGCGGAAATAACAAAACAAAGAGTCTATTACGAGAGAGAAATATGGAAATCGTCAGGCCTGCAAAGACTCAGTAGCAACAGTATCTGAATATGCATGAGGGCATTAAAAAAGAAAAAGAGAGGGAGAACGTGTGCACGTGAGAGAGAAGTCATAGGTGTATACAGCCCCAAACTGTAAGGAACTCAAACGGTAGCACAGAGAACAGTATGGCATTAAGGCAGCTGCCAGAGTGCATCTGTAACATAGCACTGGTTTCGTCAAACTAACTGCCAGGAAGAAAACAAAAACCAACATATCAACACACAGCACAGAGATGCAGAAACTGTGCAAAAAAAGGTCTGAAAAAGTATTCAGATTTTTCTATGTTTTATAGCAGATCCTGTATAAAGGCAGCAGGAGAGCAGTGGTCTCTGCTCTGGTCTGCCTTGCTTTCTGAGAGTAACTGCAGTGGTTTGACTGACAACCAGTGAAGAGGCTGGGTACTTTTATATATACAAAAATCCAGGATCCTAAATAGTAGTTAGCACAGCACTGACTAGATAAGGTGAAAAAGATAAAAATAATGCTACATCTGTGAATAATCCAGGCTATCCTAAAGCAAGAGGCTTCAAATGCATGGCCACTGACTTTCGAACACATACAACTTTTGTTTACAATTGAAATCATGACTGTGTTGAGACGGGGCTTTCACAAGCAAATGGAATTTCCTCAGTGTGGGGGAAAAGAGAATCAAAGACTGTTAAGATAATGAGCCAAATAAACACAAAATGAAATTAACAGCCCTCACAGGAAGGAAGTGCCAACAGAACACCAGCAACCTAAAGAAGAACATGTAACTTCTACATATGGTAACTAAGGAAAACAGATGAGAGAGAGGTTTAGTTTATTATACAAGGATGTTACCAAGAAAATGTTAGAAGTCCCCTAACTGAAAGATGAAAAACTAATTGTTTCAGGGCTTTCACTAACTTCAGGGCATATCAGACTAACTTTTCTCAAGAAAATTTACATTTGAGTAAAAACTTAGAAAGACGTTGTTTGGCTTTTCCTCAATATATAGGCAGAGGGACATAATTTCTATAGGGAACTGGAGTAGGAGACTGTGCCGCCTTCCATGGCTGCCCAGCAGAGCTCCCTCCTGGTGAAAGCTGGAAGGGGAAAGGGACCTTCCTTCACCTCAAAAGCTCTAAGAACATTCCCTGCCAGCCATGGCTGCAGTTTCTATGTAGGAAAGACAGCTCCAGGCGAACAGTGCTCCTACTATTAACTGCCACAAAGGAAGGCAGCATGGGTGCACGACAGATACATTCGCCTTGTTATACATGATAAGCAGAGGTTTTGCAGATTCTCATGAAGTGCCATAAAAACTCAACAAGACAGACCCCATTTAGTCCTGTGCATTCTAGGAGAGGAATGATCACCAAGAAGCAGGGTGTTACAATGACAAATGACAGACGTAACTGGTCTTGAGAGGACCAAATGATATTCTAAGAGGTGCCTTGCATACAGGCTGACCTCCTTCCTAAAGGAATTCTAAATCTTAATGTCCCTGAGAGACACAAGACAAAACCGCCTGCTCAAGTAGCTCCACTGCAGAGAGTCCTCTAATGATGGATGAGCCTCCAACTTCCCAAAATCTTCCCCAGGCTCCTCCCTCCCCCTCTTTTCAAGAATTAGAAGGGGGGATATTGCTGGAGCCCTTAAATATGAGCAGACAACATGCAGAGTAGAAATACATTCATAGTGCGCTATTTCTAATACTGCCTAAGGCTGGAGAAGGGAACAAAAAGAATTAGAAATATATCTGCATTGAACTACTTTTAAGCGCTTTTCTTGGAGACAGAGCAAAAAGAACATAACTACAGAGGGAGAGGTAAAACCCCTAATTTCTCAAATCTACATTGGTACATTGGTAGCTGGAAAAGATCCTGCTCTACCTGCTGGAAAAAACAAGAAAACAGGTCCTCTAAAAATGCAAAAAAATTAACTATATATAGCCTTTGCAACATTGCAATTTTGGGGTGTCCACACAGAAGGATGTTTTCGAGTGTCCAGGAAGGGGAAACTGTTCTTTCTCTCAAGTTAGCCCTGGTTATGAAACAGGTCATATCCTCCGATTAAGAAACAGCCTTGAGTTGGGAATGCAGATAAGCTCATGAGATAACATTCAGACCACAATGTCTTCCCTTCACCTTGAACACCTCATTAAAAAAACACAGAAATAGTGATCCGCTAGTCCCACAGCTCTGCAATCCCCACTGGAGCAGAATACAAACCCTGGCTAGAAGTCAGTGGCAAAACTACTTGCCGCTGCTAGCAAGATCAGACCGTGGTAAAGTGAGACAGAGAGGAACTCTGTAGACTTCTGGAGGATGACCCTCAGGGTTGCATTCCTTCAGCGTAGCAAATGGAAACACAGTTGAAACAGCTGCCCATCCAAAAACATGGATTTTATTCCAATTAGTGTCTTTCCCTCTGTGCATTTTAAAGCATCAAGGGTATAAGAAGGTCACAGGTTCTCTCTCTTTCTCTCTCTCTCTCCCTCCATTTACTGGATGGAAAAATTGATTCCAAAGGACTAGACACTGATTCCAAAGAGGAATAAAAATAGGAAGAGTAAAGAGGGAGAAAGCCCAAATAAATAATAATGGAATAAACAGTCATCAAGATATTTTATGTCACTGCCTTGCAGTCCTTACTCACATCAGTGCGAAACTGGAACAGCCCAGCAAAGCAGAGTCAGTGCTGATTAAGAAACCCAACCCAAAACACCCAACTGCCCCGCTGAAATAGCACTTACAGGTACTGAGAGTTTTGAAAGAGAAGGGCATTGACAGCACACTTGACCAAATTAATCTCTGTTGTGACTGACTGAAAATGGAGCTACATCTGAGGCAATTTTTTTTCCAGCAATAAACCATCATTGCTTTAAGTAAAGCAAACCATTGAGCCACAGTTCTTGTTACCATCACTAGATGTCTCTTACTGCTCTGCTTTCTGAAAAAGTTGACTATCTTAAATGTTTTATCCTTGAATGCTTCAGTATAACCTTGAAAAAGAACCTGTAATGAAAGAAACTACCTCACAAAGACCTAAGTTAATAATGACAGCTGTATGTTTAAATATCTTTCAGAATAGCATTATTGACTTTCTTCTCTCTGGCATTTAATCCGAGGAAAAGAGTCAGAAAATTGTCTTTACCAAAAAAGGGGGGGAGGGGGCAGGAGGGGAGAGCTACCTCTGCACTTAGAAAAAGAGGTCACCCTAGGAGGGTCTCACCATAACCTGCCTGTGAGCTGCTAGTGAAAACAAAACCATGCTTTTAACAAACAAGAGTGCAACAGACAGATGTGACATGACTATCCCGCAAAGAATGAAAATCCATGAGTTTTAGATAGCAGAGTTTTTTCATTTAAAATCTCAGAAGCAGCAACAAGCAGTAAGGTTTCTGTTTACCAGGGCTTAGATATACTTGTACATTCTCTGCAAAATACTCGTTTGTTCACAGAAATCCCGCTATGCGCCACTCTTACCTTACTGCGACAGCCATGCTTCCTATAGGGTTGATTGGCAATGGCCTGGCTCCAGGGAATATTCCTCTACTCAGAACTCGAGCTCCATTTTGTATCACTCCTGGAGGAACTAAAAAACAAAAGAACATTTTTCCTTTTAAAGAAGAAGTTAGAAAAATGTGTGAGCAAAACATGGAAGTTAAGCTTTTCAGTACATTTAGAAAATACGAGAGAGGCCCGTGTAGTGCACTGCTTACCTTTAACATCTCAATGCCAACTACTTAAAGGCACTTTTGTGAACACCATGCTATGCCTGCATATGCCAAAAATTTTAACAGCAGCCAATGTTAACGTGGTTTGTGGAAGCCACTGTCTGACCTAGCTGCTGCAGATCATTCCTCGTACAACTGAATCGCTTTACCTTTGTATTTGCAGTTCTGCTGGGAATGGGCGTACTTACAGTCAAACACAGCTATAAGCATGGATGCAGCCACTTAATCTACAGTAAGAAACAATGACCCTTTATGAAGGAGACATAGAATATAAGCACGTCACTGCAAGAACACAGGTCATAACTTTTTATCATCCCAGCTCACTTTCCAAGCAACAATCTCCTGGCCTCTGTCTCCTGCAAAATAAAATATTAACAGCAAATGTGGATTTACCAGGAGGTGAAAGAGAAGAGGCTAAAAAGGCATTAGCTCCAGATCACTAATTAGCCCCTTTCTCCTGATGACCTCTGTCACCCAACCTGACAGCACTGATGTGCCTCCAGCACACAGCCCGCTCACAGCCCAGCGTCCTTCCCGTTCAGTGTGGTGTGCTGATGCCAGTAAAACAAAATTATACAGGTACTGGCCGCTAGAGATGAGAAGTTTCACTGGAGACTTTTGATTTGGCTGGATATCAAAATTGCAGCTCTGGCCAGCAAGACGTGAACCTACAACCATGTACTTCGTTTCCACCCAGGCACGTTTCTGCGTGCTGCCTAGCCCTCAGCAGCCAACCCTGGCCAAAAGAACAGCAGGGGAAGTGGTGCCAAGGTATGGCCACAGGAGGAGTCCATGTGTAGCAGATCCACAGCATTTGCTTCCTCCCCATTTGGGCTGTAAGCCTACCCAACACAGTCCTTACCACGGGTGCAGAACGGGGACTTGGGCATAACACCACTGCACTCTGCGCACAGCCAGCGAGTGCCCTCCGAGCGGAGCAAGAACCTCCAACAGCCTTAGCCTGACCCTTGCATCTCTGGCCACAGCTAGCCAGTCTGCTCGCTTCTTCTTTTACCTTTGCTGTGACTCCTCATTTTTACCATAACTGCTCTTCATGAGGAATGTCCCAAAAGACAATGACTAGCATTACTCTGGATGTGTTATTTTTAATATATAGGTATTACATAAACACATATAAGACAGTCACAATCTAGATCAATATCTATGCACCCAGAGAATTCTATTTTTAAAAGCTGTATTTCACCAATTTACAGGGAGACTAGAACTTTAGAAACTCACACATGAAAACATCAGCATATTCTGAGGCAGAGAAACGCAGGTGTATAAGTACGTTTTTTTTCAAGCTGCTGAGGTACACTTCAACTTCCCATCAATACCAAGGCAGGTCCACGCTCCCCTTCCTAAATGCCATCCTGATGCTCACCTTGCTTTACTCCAGACCACAAAGATTAGTTCTGGGAAAATAATCTTCTTTCTCCTGCTGGTGAGAGGGCAACACACCCCTCACCAAATCCTGTTATTCCCTTCCACCCACCCTTGCTTTTGAATACCTCTGAAGAACAGGTCATTTATATTTAGGTGCTTAAGTGCAGCTTCAAATGGCTAAAATTATAGAACCTACTTTATAACAACTAGAGCCAGCTTTCAATGACCAAAATAATTTAAAAATTACTTTTTGCTATTCATACTTTGCTGCTTTGTGCATTTTCTCCTCCAGCACTAGATTATGAGAAATCAATGAAGTCTGTTTCATCTAGAGGACACTGATTATCAGGCTTTCAATGCTTCAGTGTTTGGGCTTGTAGACACTGTAAGGCAATGTTTTCTTACTAAAAACGCCAATAAAAATCGGAACTTTTTATAGCATTTGTTTCAACCACATGACCTTAAGAAGTTCAAAATACCAGGATCATAAAAGAAAGCAATTTGCTCAAGGGTATGCCTAGCATAAAATGCACAGATAACAGGCAAATTCAAAGCATCAGATACAACTGCTAAATATCAAAAGATCAATAAAAAGACAAATCCTTTCCAATGGGCATGGCTTTTGCAAAACATTTAGAAGAGGAATAGATTTTTATACTGCACAACACAGTACAGTTTCTCCATATTTAACCTAGTCCCCTACAAAGAAACAAACCAAGAGTTTTGACCAAGAAAGATCCGGGGACTTCATCTTTTCTCTGAAACAAACCATAGTGTTTTATATTGAAATAAAGCATTTTCACATAGATAGAGACAGTCACGTGTTAGCTATAGGTGTTGCCTAAAGGACTTGCACAACTTAAGGCAAACACCATGACAAAAAATGGAGCAGAAGGCTGCTTGATTATCGAGTCTCCTTTCTGTAACCTAACTGTCCTGGTCTGCTGGCAAAGTCAGCTGACACTGATCTTATCCTTTCTTCTCTCTTAGCTTTTCTGTCTTACTGAAAAACCCTTTGCTTCTTCTAGAAATCCTGCTCACTTTTCCCCATCTCTCCTCCAAAAATGTTGGCTCATGTCTCTCCTTCTTTTCTTCCTCTGAGTGTCATTTTTCTCCACCCCGGCACATACAAAATACACTGCAAAGTCTTATAGCTTGGACTTTCTGTATATCCATATCCCCACTCCACCCCATTCCTCCATCTTCCATGACCTTTTCCACCTGGCATCCTTCTAAGTCACTCTGTGCCATTCAGCAACATTCTCTTCAAAAACTTCACGTTTAAAAACATCCCCATCTTAACACACACACACCCCCTCCTTCCATATCTCCCATGCCACAATTAACAAGATGTTTAAAAAAAAGCAATACCCCCGACTCGCTGATCCTCCAAATAATCCTCTTGTCCCTGGTTCCCAGATACTTTCCCTGCCTCTGATTTCTCAATTTGTGCAGATTATATGAAAGTGGGTACAGATTACCCAAGGAATTATTTTCAAGTGCTGGTACTTTTGAAAGGCTGTAGATTATTTACTGGAAAACATGTGGGACTTTTATTCCAAAAATATATTTATGCCTTACAGGCTTTAATTAAAGTTTCAAAATCCCACTCTGAGGTCAGGTATTTATATTTTAGATAGAAGATTCAAGGTGAGGAGGTAAGATAATTTACTGTAAATCATATCATCAGTCATTGCCAATCTGGACTAACACCCTACAGTCCACACTCCTCTTTTCTAATGCTTCTTTAACCAACAGCACAGGCAGGTTACACGGTTCCTGGTTCTTAGACAGAAGTGCGAAATGCAATTTACACATCCTCTGTGCGAGTGACAAGACTTTTATGTCTGAGAAACTCTACTTAGGAAAACAACACAAAAAAATCTGTACATCTTTTTGATAAAAGTTTCCTCTTTCACAAAATACGTTCTTATTGAAACTCCAAGAATCTGAAACAACAAAATCATTATTCACCTTCCAGCTTTCATCACTGCTGTGTCTGGACACAGGTATTGGACCTGACTCCTCTCTTGGACAGCTTTAATCCAAAAAAATATGCCCATTGGAGTAAACAGTTAAACTATACACAGCCAGAGAATCTGCCCTTAATCTTCTGCATTAAAAGGGAAATTATTTTTGGATCTTACGCTACTCTGGCGAATTCCTTATCCTGAATAGTATTTGATGGAATTTCAAATCTCTAATGATTAACTACAGAGAGGAGCAATGCATCTAACATCAAAAAGCAAAACTACATCTCCAAAATTCTCCAAGGGGGAAAATAACCTCTCTGCCTTTTATACTCTGTAGCAAACTTTTACATTATAGTTTAGTAGACGCTAAAGTGAATACCATATGGGAGAACATACTATAATCTGAATCCATCAAAACACTATGTTCAGGTAACGTTAAGAAGCTCTGATAGAAGCCCACAAAAATCTCACACCAGTCTAGTAGCCCGTACTCATAGCTGGTGATGGAAAATAACTACGAGGCCACATGATCATTCCACAGCCGGTGCCGGGCTGTTCTAACGCAGCATATTCTCATATGCACCTTAGGTGAGCAGAACATCTCGGACTATGCGTTTTCTTTCATCACATCCCTTGACAGATTATGTCCATAATCGCTTACTCCCAAATGTGTGTATGGGTGAAGCAAATTTCCCCCATCCAGCTGAGTTAACAACTTAATTCATCTAAGTCCTTCACAACAATCAAAACCATGTTAGGCAGCGATCTTCCCTGAAGATTTCATCGTCTAATGCACAAAATAGCAATTTGGCAAGAGCAGCTAAAATACAAGTAGAAAAGGAAGAGGAAATACTCATGGAGAGAGTCATCAGACATACTGACACCCCACAACCCACTAAATACGCAACCAACTTTTTGGTTAAATGTTGGCCTGTGGAAGTTATATGAAATATTAGCACTGAGCATGATTTATTGTAAATCAAGAAAATTAAGAAGAAAGGAGTAGCAAATGTGCATGTGTTCTTTATGTCACCTGGGAAAAAACCATACACTTCATTAAGTTGTCTAGCTCAAAGTAGCCAACATTTTGACTAGTGAGGAAGACTATATAGTATTTATTGAAAATAAACTTATAAAAAGTGAAACAGTAGAGTACGAAGGTATCCTGTAGGAACAGACTGGTTCTCTGCCTTCTTCGGTCATGTGACACATGCATTTAAGTCACGGTTCTCTTCTCAAACCCGTGTCTTGTGCCACAGAAGAAATCATTATAGACAAGAGATACCACATTTTCGCTAATGTCTGTCACCTTTAGCTTCCCTCTGCTAATATCTCTTCCATGACAGTGTTTAGCAGAACACTTTATCTCAGTCTACAAGAACTGAAAATAGGAAATTGCTGATGATGTGTAATTGATGGGACATCAGAAGTTGCCAAAAGCAAATGTTATCTGCCAAAAGTGTAACTTTATTCACTTCAATTCTCTTGCCCCAGGCATA